AGCTATCCATTCTAAAGGAAATCAACCCTGAGTGCTCACTGGAAGGACAGATGCTGAAGCTGAGGCTCCAATATTTTGGCCATCTCATGAGAATAGAAGCCTCCTTGGAAAAGACCATGAAGTTAGGAAAGTGTGAAGGCAAGAGGAGAAGGGGAGAACAGAGGACAAGATGGCTGGACAGCGTCATCGAACATAAATTTGACCCAACTCCAGGAGGCAGTGGAAGACAAGAGGGCCTGGCGTGCTCTGGTCCATGGGGTCACAGAGAGTCAGACTCAACTAAACGACTAAACAACAACAACAGAATGTAATATCCATAAGAATTACAACTTCTATCTTAGCCTACTCCATCCTGTTTAGCAACATGAGTTGAAATCACTAGAAAGGAATCTAAAAAAATTAATCAAAACAAAATTATCTTGAAGCATGTACTGTTCAGAGAATTTTTTTAAAAAATAAAACACTCTATAATATATTGGAAAACCAAACTTACTTGGCACCAGTAACTCTAACTGCTTCTACCGTGTAGGCTTTCTGAAAACACAAGCTCACACACCAACTGAAATATCCACTTTGCCCGATATAAGCCATTTATCAGAGTATTTATTCAAAGAAAGGCAATAGTGATGTTTTTGAGAAACAATACCTTAAACTGAAAACTAAAGGAAATAACCAAAATAAACCCAGTGGCTAAAATCCTATTGGTGTTTGCGTAAGATTTGCATAACTTGACTAATTCAAGTTAACTGATGATGTGTAGAGATACATCTTGGTTGTACAACTGGGTATGTGATGAGGCATATGACCAAGACACCACTGTACTTTGTCAATTAGCCCAAATTAGCCATGGTAAATTATATATCTCAATTAACTGGAAAAGCAAACGATGACAGCTCCTTCCATTTGAATTAGTACAATAAAACCCATGGGTATACATTATCATGTGTGTTTCAAGTGGGAAGATAACCGAAATGGCGGGAAGAAAAAAGAAAAACATTTGATTTGGATACGGTTTCACATGCCACTATGCGAAGCAGTCACAAATACTGAGGATTTCATAATGTGTCCTCTTCCCCCTATCATTCATACAACTAAAGATACAAAAAAAAACACCTTGTATGATTATATGTACCATTTTAAAGAGTGAAACTCAAAGTGTCAGTGCTACAGAACTTTTGAAATATCATCTTCAAGCTATTTATTCCCTATAACATTGTTATTCTAAATTAACTCTTTCTCACAGTAATGAGACATTTTATCTTCAGAGCTTTTCCCGATTGTATCCTATAGTCTTGTATACCTTTCTTTATCACAGATTTAGATAATTTCGCAAGCATTAAGATAATGACTTAACATAGCCTCATACACTCTCATCATTCCTAGTTCTGCACAGCCACAAAGTGCAATTTAGAAGGGTTGGCTTCTCTTTTAGGTTAGCCATCATTTGCTATCATACTATATCATATCATACCATATTGTAAAATTTGATTAATCTTAACAATGGATTGTTGAAAGAAGCCTGTTCCAAAAACTCTGAAGGAAGCTTATTTCAATAAGCTACAGTTAACATTAAGTTACATCTGTCTGGGTGTTAACGTTACAGCTGGATGTAATTAATCTAAATGGAAGCAAAATCTCTCAGTACCCTCTCACTGCTTTGCTGATGGAAAAGTGCCATGTAGTTTGCTCTAGTTCCTTCTCCAAATGTCCAAAGCCAGACATTCTACGGCACATGGCAATAGTTTTAAAAAACTCAAAACAGTCATATTGAGAAATAGCTGCTACTCATAGCCACCTTCTAAGTCAGTGGTTCCCAATCTTGGATAACCCAGGTGTTATTGAACTGCAACTCTTAGAAGCCCTGGCCCGCACAGCTGGCAGTGAAAACTGTTGGGAGTTGCAACCCAAGAACACCTGGGTTACCAAGGTTGGGAACCACTGTTCTGTGTCAAGCTAAAGTCAAGCCAAGACTGTACTATGCAACAGCCTACATGCATTAACCCAGCTAGTTTCAGAGACAGTTCTGAGCTGAAGTGTTGAGAGTCAATGAAAGCTAATGTGCAACAAAGAATTCAACCTACAAATCACAGCAAAAAAGTAAAGGACATGGTACCTCATTCTGTTGCCCAACACCATTGATGGCTTGTTGCTGATTTTGTTCTAGCCACTGTGGTGCTCCTCCATGCACAATTTGTTCACGTAGCCACACAAGGCTGATAAACGCACAGAGCGTGCATGTCACCACAAAACAACCTTGCAAACAGTCTGCCAGTAAATTCTCTCTGTTAAAGAGACAATGAACACATTATTCACAATATGACAGCTATCCAACTGTTACCATTTTAGTGCAGCATCACTCTTAATTCACATTACAATCAGCAATTCCTGCTTACATAAGACCTATAAGGAGACCTGTTTTTAAAAGAGAAAATTCAAGATCCCCAACAGAGTATCACTGAAAAGCACTTAACTACTTAAGCTAAATCTCCATCAACTGTTATTCTTATTATCAGTTACTTGCCAACTGAATAAAACTGAATATTTTTATACTCAGGAATTTTCCTCTATTAACCTCATTCACTCATTTGATTAATATGCTGGTGTAGCACTGTTAAACATGCACATTTATTATTATTATGACCATTACCATCATCTCTTGGAGGTTTTAAATTTAGCAGGAAAGCATTTTATTTATACTTCTGCATTGTGTGATCACTACAAACTGAAACTCAGAACATTACTCGGCTGCCAAGAACTATGTTTCACAATAATCAGTATAAGAGAAGAGCAGCTAATGAGTTTACAAACAAAAAACACACACAAAACTTATTAGTTAGCCAATACTTACGTTGACAGCATATCTAATGGTAATGTCAGTAGTGAGCTCACAGAGCCTGTAAACAAGCACTTGTAGATACGGCCTACAGAATAAAGAACAACACTATGGTCAACAATTTTTTGCCAATTAAACCTGTATTTTAAAAGGGAGTTTTGAGTACCCAGAGGTTCATTTTAACCAGGATTAATTATAGTAAAATATAAAAAAAAACCCTCTGGGAAATCAGGAGAACTTGGGACAGCGAAGTGCAGGGGGTGGGGTGGGTGTTCCTAAAGCCCAATGCTGCCATGTTCCAGAAAGAAGATATGGAAAGTTAAGTCAAAATGGAGCAGAAACTCCCACTTCCATTATATCTGGTTGTTAACAATTTAAAATCTGTGAGAATGTGCACATGTATACAATTTTAAAGGAATAAAACCCCACTGAACAAAATTACTTGAACTATTTTTTACTATTATACAATAAAGGAAAGCAAGTTATCTTACAAATTTCTTAATACATGTGTTCAAGCAAATAGAAAATAACAGGAAACAGTGTATGGTACTGGAAACTAATAAAGCTGTGAGGATTAGTGAAACAATTAAGTGACATAATAATCCTATAGGATTCCAGGATTTCATGAGAGGGATTCTGGCTGATCTGACTGGCGATCCTGTCCAGGCTCTGGTTGATGGCTGGCTTGCTGCCACCACCAGGACTGTCGACACGGTCGCCCCTAAACATCCTCTCTGTTACAGAGCTCGGCCAGCGCCCTGGTTTAGCCAGGAGCTGCGAGCTATGAAGCAAAACAGGAGAAGGCTAAAGTGCATTTGGAGACGTATTATAATCGGAAAGCTGTCAGGATCGCAACTAACCACTACCTTAATAAGGTGAGGGCTGCCAGTTGAGCTCACTTCGCTGTCCAGATAACCGAAGCTTCAAACCAGCAGGTGGAACTTTTAAATATAGTTCGCAATCTATACGGAATTGGTCTAAGTGATGGGCTTCCTACTAGTATTTCACCTAACCGATTTGCAGCATTTTTTAAACCAAAAGAGGAGAGTACAGCTTGGGGAGAGGGTCTCAGCCCCGTGGGGCCTCAATAGTGGGTTCCACAGGGCTCAATTATCTCCCCAATGCTGTTTAATATCTACATGAGGCCGCTGGGTGCAGTCATCAGGGGGTGTGGGGCTTCGTGCCATCAGTACGCTGATGACACCCAGCTCTACATCTCCTTTTCTCCAACCACAGTGGATGCCATTCCATCCCTTCATCACTGCCTGGAGGCTGTACTGCAATGGATGCAGAAGAATGGACTGAGACTGAACCTGAACAAGACAGAGGTCCTGAGGGTGGGTGGCCCCTCCATTGGTGGTTTGGTAAACTTCCTCTCTTTTGAGGAAGTGATTGTCACCATGAAAAGGGAGGTTCGCAGCTTGGGGATCCA